TCACAACACCCTACTACAACCCAGCATCCTACTGAGATACCCCATAATAACCTGCTACCCCCCTACACGCCAACCTTCTACACCCCAACACCATACTGAGATAACCCATGACGCCCTAATGCCCCCTGCTCAGCAACCTAAAACTGCACTACACCCCAAAACTGGAGAGCGGTGACAGCTGACACCCCAACACCCTACTGTGATATTACAACATTACGCTTTATTTCACCCTCCACAGCACCACACTACACCCTGCACCCCAACACTGGAGACCTTGCTACACCCCAACACCCTACTGTACCCTGCTACCGCTACTGTGCCCTTCATAGTACCTCTCTAATTGCCTTAATACCCTATTACACCCCAACACCGGAGAGAGGTGACATCCCAACACCCCGAGATATCCAAAAAACACTCTGCTGCACTTCATAGTTCCATGCCCCCAATGTCCAACTTCACCCTAATACCCCCTAGTACACCCTGCACCCCAACACCAGAGAGAGATGACAGCTACCACGTCCAGTAACCTGCTGCACCCCCAAAACCCTATAAATACTTCAAACACTCCAAACACTTGCAGCCTCCCACCCCAAAACACTGGATTATACCCCATAAAACCATGCAACCTCCCAACACCCTACTATACCCCATAACCCAGCCTCCCTACACCCTACTATAACCCAGCCTCCCTACACCCTACTATACCCCATAACCCAGCCTCCCTACACCCTACTATACCCCATAATCCAGCCTCCCTACTATACCCCATAGCACTCTACTACATGTCATAGCACCCCGCAATCTCCAAATACCCTATATCACTCTGCTGCACCCCATAACACCCTAAAATCTCCCAGCACCTTATTATACCCCATAAAGCTTCATAATTACCCCACTATATCCCATATCACCCCGAAACCTGGCAGCATCGTTATACATTCCATAGCACTCTACTGCACCTGTAACACCCCAAAACCTTCCAGCACTTTAGAACCCCAGAACATCCCACTACACCCTAAAACACTCTACTACACCACATATCACCCTGCAGCCTGCCCGCACCCTATAACACCCCACTACCCCTCTTAATAACCTTCAGAGACCCTTCCACACTGTGCACCCCAACACTACAAACACCTGAACACTGAATCACCTTCTCATACCCCTCAGCACCTCGAGACTCCCAGCAACACCCACATGTGCCTCATAATGTCATGATCATTTATTAGAGTGCGGTGTCAGTGATTGGTCAGCGTGCATTGCAGGTAATTTATGTGTGCGTTGTCTGTGATTGTTATCATTAGGTATCAGTCAGTGGAGTGCGGTGTCGGTGGAGTGCGGTGTCAGTGGAGTGCGGTGTCAGTAATGATCAGTCGGCGGAGTGCGGTGTCAGTAATGATCAGTCAGTGGAGTGCGGTGTCAGTGGAGTGCAGTGTCAGTAGTGATCAGTCGGTGGAGGGCGGTGTCAGTAATGATCAGTCGGTGGAGTGCGGTGTCAGTAATGATCAGTCGGTGGAGTGCGGTGTCAGTAATGATCAGTCGGTGGAGTGCGGTGTCAGT